CCCTAACATATGAACTCAGCTTCCACATGCATGATATTCTCTAGCTTTATTGATGACGTGGTCAAGAAAGAATCTAGCCAATTCCTCTTGAATTGCTCGCACGCGATCTTGTGATAGGAGTTCATCCCACATCTAATTTGAATAAGGGGGTCAATACATATATATGAATGAAACTCAACATAAATGATGGTAATAAAATAAACTTGTGAATATTTTTGCTTACGCACTTCATATTGTCTTTTAGAGTAGCCCCGCCTATTCTTGGCCGACGCGTTGTAGATGAACTCGCAGACGTAGTATCCACAGTAATTATTCCCGGCTTCCTGCCACAAGCACTTTACGAGAAATAGAGGTCAATCAAACTGATAATGAAGCATTATAAATGGCATTGATGAAAGTAGCTATAATCAACAGGAGATGCGCAAAACTAGCTAGCTAGTAGTATTTACTTTCGGGTATTTACATCGCAGATCCCGCGGCAGTCCCGGAACTTGTGCGGCAAATACTTTCCAAACCCTGCGAGACAAAGAAAAACAATCACTTGATATCATGAAATGAACAAAGTTGCCGATATGGTGCGCTAATGATCGATTCAACTTACTTGTCGAGCATTTTAGACATGTCTGCATAGTCCTCCAGATCTTTTCATCTCGAGTCTAAGACGTTTACTAGTCCCTGCTCAAGCTTAATCTCCAGGAGAATATAGTGGCACCTGCGCATGCATGCATAACTCATCAATTACATTAATTACTATAACCTCGAGTAATAATTAAGGAAAACAGAATATGCACAAGATAGTAACACTCACTTGAAGTTGTAAGGAAAGATTATTGTATCTTTGTTTTGATTTATTACCAATGATCGTAGCAAGTTGTCCTCGGTTTCTTTGGCATGAAATGTAACCGTATATTCATCTATGAGTTTTTTGTTAATGAACCCAATATCATACATTTCAGCTTTTCTACATTCGACGATTTTCAATCTGCATAATACAGTGAGGATAATTATATATACATGCAATGAAAGAGCCGAGCTATATATAGAGACTTAATGACAGAAGTAGTACTTACAGACAGTAGCAAGTGACCGTTAATTTATCGAGGGCCTTTTGATTGAAAAACTGGAAGAACTCCTTAAATGGAACACACAAGTGCTCAATTCCAATGAGGTCGTGCTGATCCTCTTTAACTTTCAGCGTCAAAGTATCGATTTTCTTCCGAGACTTTCTGCAGGTTTCCATGTACCAATCATGGAATCTTTGCATCATCGTTGTTAGAGTAGTTCCATCTTTGACGAGAGGCTTTCCGTACTCGTATTTGAATTTGTCCACCTCCATTATATAAAAATGTGCGCCGTCGTCGTGCATGCAATCTGCAGGATTGGTACCGGGCACGATCCCCGGATGATTAGCGACGATATCACTAGACACCTTGAGTGGGGGCCATGATTGGTTCGCTTGTCCGCCGAGCTGGGGAATTTTTTCCCACTTCTTCGTTCTTGTAACCTTTTGTCACTGCAAGTACTTCCCGACCGCTTCGCTTCCTTATATGCCCTTTCAATAATGCGCTCATAGTTGGTTTGTGGCGGAGACGATGGTGGTCGCTGTAGGGCATCCAAAGTGCGGTTCGCTTTCATCGGATCTATCTTCTCCTCCGGAGGTGGATGTTTCTTAGCTCTTTGCGTTTCGAAGTAGTCCTTCACTTGGGCTTGATAGATGTCCGTGTTTTCCTGTTCGGTCATCTCGTATGGTAACTTCTCTGGAGTCTTGAGAGATGGACCGAATCTGTATTACCTCCCACCTCTGGCTGTACTGCTAGACGCCGGAGCAGGCCGAGCGGCTGCGGCTGTCTTCTTTTGTTGCTTACGAGGTGGAGGAGAAGTACTACGACATGCCGGATCAGCTGGAGCAGCGGTGGGTCTCTTCCGCCCTTGCTGACGAGGCGGGGAAGGAGGAGGCTGGCTGGTCGAGCACGCCAGCGCAGGCGGAGAAGGAGGCGGAGTGCCGCCACGCGCCGGAGAAGGAGGCGGAGTGCCCTGATCACTTGCCGTAGGAGCAGGCGGAGGAGGAGGCGGAGTGCCCTGACTCGGTGGAGGAGGAGGAGGAGGCGAAGGCGTCCAGTTCGGAAGGTTTATGAGATCCTTCCTCCATAGGTATGGAGTTTTCAGAGTAGAACCCAGCCGAGTTTCCCCTTCACCGGTAGGGTGGTCAAGCACGAGCTCCTCAAATCCCTCCATTATTTCATCCACCATCACGCTAGCATATCCTTTTGGAATTGGACGACATTGAAAAGTTACACCGGGTTCAGGAGGTCGAACAGAGCCAACAGCCGCCTTGACTTTGTAGTTCTGCCGTTGCGTCATAAGGTGGCAATGTTGAGACTCCGTGATAGCATCCATGGGGTAGCTAGCAGGAGCCGTGAAGATAGGCTCCAGCTGAAGTAGCTCGGTGGAAGCCACGCTGCTTCTCCACTGAGATGGCGGGGTAGCTTCAGCAGGTCGCTTGCTTCGAGCTACTTCTCATTCCTCTAGCTTCCATACCTTGCGTGCAGCTCCTGCAGTTCGCTCTGCTCTACTTTCCTCGTCCTCTCTTGGCATTTGTAACCGCCTGCATCCGGAAACCCAGCCTTCCACGAAATGGAGCTTGGCGTGCCTCGTGTCCGTCCAGGGTGCTCAGGATTCCCTAGGGCCATTGTGAGCTCGTCTTTCTTTCTGTCTGGAACGAACGTCCCTTCCCGCGCTGTGGCAATATAGTCCTGAAGCTTCGTGACGGGTATTCGCAGTTGCTCGCTTGTCCAAATGCA